GATCCTGATGGCACAGACAGCTTGGAGATTCCCGAGTGGTGGTAGGACCTAAGAATTAACCAAAAAATCAGCCCTGCTATCCAGGGACTGCACAGACGAATGTGCACAGTGGCTGGGGAATAAACAGAGAAGGTGAAGAGAAAGGTGGGCTGAGCTGTGGACTTTTGCCGGTCCAGAGGACATTGCCATTTTGAAGGTTTAAAAGCTGCTTGACTATTTTGGATATTTAAAGAGACAGCAATCTCGCAGATTCCTACGGCTTAAGAACATGTTCTGCTTTCCAGCAACCCCAAGGACACTCCAGACCCACAAGACTGAAAAGGGGAGTTCTGGCAAGATGGCGGACCAGGCAGAAAGACTGCACAGACCCTCTTCAACAAAGAAAAGGGAAACCAATTAACACAGACACAGAAGATAATCCTGGACCTCTGAGCCTTTAAGGAAAGGATACAGAAGTAGACTAAACCCCAATTAGCAAAAGAATTTGCATGAAAATACCGAAACAGGAGACAAGAGGGAGCTGCAGTCTGGCAATGATCCTGAGCGATCCTGAGGGCACAGACAGCTTGAAGATTCCCGAGTGGTGGCAGGACCTAAGAATTAACCTAAAAATCAGTGCTGCTAGCCAGGACTGCACTTGGACTGCTCTGGTGGCTGGGGAATAAACAGAGAAAATGAAGAGAAAAGCGGGCTAAGCTGTGGACTTGTGCCAGTCTGGAGAACGCTGCCATTATGAATGTTGCAAGTGGCTTGACTATTTTGGATATTTAAAGGAATCTTAAGCCCCTGAGATTCCAGGGGCTTAAGAAGAGGTTCAGCTTTCCAGCAACTCCAAGGACACTCCGGACCTGCAAGACGGAAAAGGTGCGACATTCCTCTTGTTACTTTTATACCCCACACCCACTTGGTGAACGGAGGTGCACCCATTCCCCACTCCCACCCACCTTCTGGGTCCACAGGAACTCCATCAGAGTGTGTGTGCTCAGACGGAACCTGGGTGCCCTGCCCTGTCCTCCACCAATTTTTTTTTCTTTTTCTTTTTTCCTTTCTTTTTTCTGGTAATTAGTTGCTTGTATTTGTTCGTTTAAAAACAAGAATTATTATTAATAGTTTTGTCCTTTTTATTATTAATCTTATTCTTCCCCTCCCAGGTCCTAGTTTTCAGCTTTTTTTCTTTTCTC